GTTCTTTGTTAACTCCGTCCAACTTGACTAACGAAAAATGCTGATGTGACCTTCATTTATTATTTTCTCTCCTGCAGGGCACTTACGTGATTAAAACATGAAGTATAAGACTAAAACGATATTATTTTGGTCAAAATCTAATTTTTTAACCTAAATCTGGGCGAGGGTTGTCGGCCACTGGATGGCGAATGGTGACCTCGCCAGCCATTGCCCCACCATCACTGGCCCTTTATGGTGACGGTGGGATGGTGATGGTGGGGCGGATGACGGGGGCTTGGTTTTCCCTTCTTTTTTTATTATTTTAAATTTAGCCTTTTGAATTTAATTTAAATAAGATTTAGGTTAAAAAAATCAAACCTCAGACCAAGAACGTATCGTTCAAGCCTTATACTTTATGTTTTAGCCCCGTCAAAGTTACGTAGATTAGAGCAAATAATAAAAAGAATAACATCGGCATATTGGGTTAGTCAAGTTGGACGGAGTTAACAAAATGACTCAATTGCATCAATTTGACAAGTTTTATGACTTGATTGCACTTTTTGAAAGTTTTAAGGCTCAATTACATTTTTTTTTATTAAGTTTTAAGATTTCCAATGCACTCCCTTAAACAAAAGATCTTACCTTTTTGTACTCTTGTTCGGTATCCTTTGAGGATTAAAGTGCCCTTGGTGGGCGGACCGAACTGGTCTACGTATGCTGACGGGGCATCTGACCCCTCTCTCTAGACTTTCAAGGTCGGGGTATGTGCTTGTTTAGACCTACGGTCGGGTCTTGTGGGCCAAGCCGTTTAGGGAGCGTGATCTTTCTTGAGCCCCTGTCAAGCCACTTTAACACGGTGCGAGAGCGTGATTGGAAGTGAATAAGTTTTGGCTACAATAATACTAGCATTAACTAGTTATATCCCCAATAGTGTTGCTCTAATCCATCAAGAAATAGCTAATTAAACTATTTACTAACTTCCTCGCTCCGCAATTATCTTGATATGTTATTCTTCCCAATATACAATATGGTTTTTAGGTTAAAATAGAAAGAGAAAAGGTCACAAAAAATCTCAAACTATGCCTACTGTAACATATTTACCATAAACTTCCTTAGTGACATCAAAAACTCCAAATTATGTCTACTGTGACACATTTACCCTAAACTTTTTTTTGTAACATAAAAAACCCCAAATTTTTGTGAATCATTTACCATCCATCAAGGTTCCGTCAAATGATTGTTTAATCAAAACAATATCGTTTTTATTTCATTTAAGTCACGTGAGCGTCATATTAATAATATTTGCTTTCCGGCATCATTGTAGATAGGTTTTAACGGTCCTTGCCGACGGAGGGTAAATGTCGCTTTTATTGTCATATTGTGGGGAAATCATGATTTCGGGTAGAAATCATACACGGAGACAACCAAAGACTCTTTCCTTCGTTCGCCATGTGAAAAATGGAGGCGTAACCCGTTTATAAAGATTGACTGAGACTATTCACCGTCGCAGGGTCAAGGTAAATGCGTACACCTGTCCTCACATGTCCATGAGTGCATCGCAAGAATCCTCCTTCTCTCTCGTCCAACATGAATCTGTCCGACGAATCTCGGCCGGAGTTCGTCATCGCCGCTGTCGGGCCGTCGCTCGGCTTGCAGAGCTGCGGTTGATTAGGAATGCGCGGCGGAGAAAACGAGGGAGGGAGAGTAAACCGAGAAGATCACGGCGGAAAGGAGAAAGGAGCACGTGCGCTGGCATCTATTCACCTGTTAAATTATAGTTTAATGTTGATGTTAATAATTTCTTGCCTAGTAGTATTAAGTGACTTACATAAGCTGCAAATTATTATAAAAACGGAGAAATGCACTTACTGTCATATGAACAGCTAGAAAGTTTTGTCTGCATCGCAACATGTTTGTATGTATTATAGTATTAAGGGATATGTTCATTAGAAGTCTTAAAATTTATCATGAAAGTGCAATTGAGTCATAAAATTTATCAAATTGGTTCGATCGAGTTATAAAGTTAACGCCGTTTAATTTACTAACGGAAAATTAAACGTTAATCATAAAGCCCTCAAATGCACTTTTATAATGAATTTTAGCACTAAGGCTGTGTTCGTTTGCGGAAAAATATTTTTCCGAAAAATATTTTCCGCGTTTTCCGGTGTTCGGGGGCGGTGAATGTTTTCCGTGGGAAAACATTTTCCTTCCCCACTCCCAAATCCTTCATTGTTTTGAGGAAAATGATTTTCTCTTTTCACAAAGAGGAAATCATTTTCCCCCAAATTGAAGGCAAAATTGCCCATGGGAGGGAAAATATTTTCCGTGGGAGAGGAAGTTGATCGCCGGTCACCACCGTTGGCCGCCGGTCGCTGGCCGCCCGTCGCGGCTGTCGCCGGTCATTGCCGCTTTCGGCTGTCAGCCCGCGGTCGTGCCGCGGCTTGTGCTGTCGGCCGCGCTGCCTGATTGCCGTCGTCGCCGCCGGCCGCCCGTGCCGCCGATCGTCGGTGAAAAATATTTTCCGAAACTTTTTCATATTGTTCGCCGAACACCGGAAAATTATGTTTCGGGAAAACATTTTCCAGGAAAATGACTTCCGGGAAAATATTTTCCAAAAGGAGAATATTTTCCGCCAAACAAACGGAGCCTAAAAGTGAACATATCCCATAGTATTAATTAGCATGTCGCTTTCACAACTTACTTAGCATTTCGTTGATGATTTTTAGTAAACACTAGTTGAGAAGCTTAACAAAAGATTGGTACTCTTGTTTTTTTTTTTTTAGTCAAATGATAGGTACTCTTGTTAAAAACAACAAAATCGAACGTTTTTTTTTCCTAATTTTCAATTCTGTCAATGGATTTTCTTTTCACGAACCAAAAACGTTATTTTAACAAAGAGGTTGAGAACATAAATCTGTTTTCATTTTACTTTTCACTGAAAATGAATCGCGAAATCATTTTCTTGAACCTTCGAGTGTAGCTGCCGTGCCATTTGAAGGAAGGAGACACTAATTGTACTGTACAATTGCACGATATATCGTCGACAAAATTTCTTACGACGTCATAACGTACCGTAAAAATCAACAAAAGTGTATGTATGGTACGCTATTGTACCTTAGAAGTGCCCGAGCAGAGAGAAAATATACTTTGCAATCATATGTCATGTAGCATGTCTCTATCGTGTACTCAGTTGTTAACTGATAAATTTTGAGTCAAAACGCGAGCGAACACCTCCAATCATATTACCATTTACACTTTACGATACGCAAAGAAGATTGGATTTGCGTCTTGACTCGCACGGTCCTTTATTTAACCACAAAATCAAACTAAAATGAGATAGTACAATTAAAACATGATGTATATTTAATTTTAGGAAACAACCATAAAAGACCCTAAAGTATGCTCATTGCACTGCATTTGTCATTAACATTTTTTTGAGACATCATATATCCCAAACTATACTCAGGGTGACATAAAAAACCCTAAACGTGTACTTATGTAACACACTTACCTTCCGTCAATGTTCCGTCAAATGATTTTTCAGCCAAAATAAGTCATTTTTATTTCTCTTAAGTTACGAGGGCGCCATGTCAGCACTGTTTGGTTTCCGACGTTCATGCAAGCGATTTTTAACCATGCTCGTTAAAGGTACATTGACGGAGGATAAATATATCACATGAGTACAAGTTTAAGATTTTTGTATCACAATAAACATAACTTAAGATTTTTTTTTATGACGTTTGCCCTTAATTTTACTCTGTCAAATATCGTCAAATGAGATAATATGACTAATGGCGAAAGCTACCGCTTTTTAAAAGCACTCGCCACTTTTCCACTCTTTTTTTTTTTTGGGAAAAAACCACCAAAAACCCCAAACTTTGTCATTTGTGACACATTTATCCCGAACTTTGCTTTTTGTGACACATTTACCCCAATGTATTTAGTCCATGGGCATTTTCGTCTTTTTTGCTTTTTCTTTTTTTTTTCTTTTTTTTTCCTTTCCGGCGAGGGGGGACCTCGCCGGCGTTGAGCGAGGGCTGCCCTCGCCGGCGTTGGCGAGGGCGCCCTCGCCGGATCCGCTGAGGGGGCCTCGCCGGCGTCAGCGAGGCGGCCCTCGCCCAGGACTCGAGCGAGGTCGACCCTCGCCGGCGTCGGGCGAGGGTCGACCTCGCTTTGAGTCGGGCGAGGGCCGCCCTCGCTCGCCCAGGCGAGGGCGAACCTCGCCCGACGCCGGCGAGGCCCCCCCTCGCCGGAAAGGAAAAAAAATGAAAAAAAAATGAAAAAAAAATGAAAAAGCAAAAAAGACAAAAATGCCCATAGACTAAATACATTGGGGTAAATATGTCACAAAAAGCAAAGTTCGGGATTTTTGGTGTCACAAAAAAAAGTTCGGGGTAAATGTGTCACAGATGGCAAAGTTTGGGGTTTTTGGTGATTTTTTTCCTTTTTTTTTTTTTTTTTTTTTATAAAAGCACTTTACGTTGCACATTTTGGAAAGTGAAATTGATGAAGCTGTCCGAATAATTGACCCATTTGCCATTTCGAGAGACGGATCGACACTCTGGCGTTAGCTCAACGGAGAAGGGGGATAATCGCACGGATATTTGCTGAACTTTAACTCGATATGCAATGCGATTTCCAAACTTTTAATTTATTCAATTTGATCACCGAACTCTGGCTCAATATACAATGTCGTCCCGGGATATTTAATTTGTGCAGCGTGGTCCCCGATCTGTGCCAGCGGCGCAAGCTAGCACAGGCGGCGCACGTTTGAGCTGTTATGAGTTGGGGTCACGGGGTTCCGGTCCCATGTCCGCTCTATATATGAACCTCTGCCTAGGAGTAGGAACGGAAACTCCGGAACAACACACACACACACACGTGTCGATCGAGGTCAAAAGCATAACGGCAGAATCAGGAAACCACGAGCGAGCGCGAGTTTCGCCGGAGTAGGGTGGTGGGTGGGTGGTGGGTTCTTTCTCTCTCTTTCTTTCTGTCTTTGCTTGCCCGCCCGCCCGCCCGCCGGCCGTCCGTCGTCTGCGCCCTTTGGCTGGCCGGAGAAGATGGTGGCGGATCAGTCCGCGGTGGGTTGGATCTTGGCGTCCCTCCTGGGTCTCGCCGCCCTGTGCCACCTGGTGGCGAGAAGAGCGGGGAGGAGGAGGAGGGGCGGGGAGGGGGCAGAATGCGCCGCCGAGACCGACGGCATTGTGACGACGGGTAGGCAATGCGGATCCGGACCCGTGAACGGCGACGGGAGCGAGGTGGACGTCATCATCGTCGGGGCCGGTGTCGCCGGCTCGGCTCTCGCTCATACGCTTGGCAAGGTGGTTCCTTTTTTGCCTTCCTGTTTTTTTTTCTTTTTTTTGCTCTTTAAAGTTCTGAATCCTCGTTGTCTGTTTCATTACGCTTCTGTGATTTTTTCCTGGATTTGTTTTTTTTGTTTTTGCTCTGGGGGCAACAGCGTAGTGGAGCGCATCTTCGTTTTCTGGTGCCCTTTGGCAACAGCATATGTTCTTTTTATATTGGAAAATAACAACAATTTGACTTCTGGAGATAGAGTTCCTGGCCAGGAATTGATTTACTTGGACGCAGATATACATCCTGCGAAGTCCCATTTTCAGGAAATGCTTTCATGCTTTATAAATCCAGCAGAGTTTCTTTTCACATTAAAAAAAAGAACAATTTGACTTCTGGAGATAGAGTTGCTGGCCAGGAATTGATTTACTAGGACCCAGATGCATCCTGCGAAATCCCATTTTCAGGAAATGTTTTCATGCTTTATAATAATCCAACAGAGTTTTGAAGGAATTAGCAGTATCAAAATGTAGCTGGACAATTATAAAGATTTGATTTTCGTGAATGATTTGATCGTGTTGTCGTTTCGTTCTTCTTTCCCGCTTTATAGATTTGATAAAGATATCGGTATTTGAGTGGTTTTATAAGCTTGGTATCCAAAATGCTGGTTCTTGTTCCCTGTTGTTTTTTTTTGGTCATAATTGTTCCCTGTAGTTCACAAGTGACTTTGTATTGCGAATTTTGTCGGTAAGCATTTTACCAGCGCCTGCTGTCCATATGATTGGCTGTAATGATTTTCTAGCATTCACCTTGTCTTTAGTAGTTCAATCAAACAAGGCTCATTACTGCATTATTGTAAGGTTTTGGATGGATTTTAGTTTTGCTTGAGGGAATATGTAAATGTCTTGCAGACTTTTTTGCTCTTGCTTGTTGTCTCCGGAAACCTTAACTTGTCTTATTTGAATATTAAAAAAGAGTTTCAGAAAAATTGGGCACTTACCATCATGTGAGGACGTAATTTGAAGGGCCATATGAAACAATGACCGATTTGTTTGAGCAATCCTTGATGGATTTAATTGAACTCTATTTTTCTGATCTTTAGATACTGACTGGACTCCAATAGCCAACCTGGGCCTCTGTCTCTTGTATTGTTGTATGTGACATTGGCATTACAACCGATCACATGCTTACCCAAACCTGCAGGGCCTGTAGGTTTGGCTGGTAGTTGCGGGTTGATTGTATCCGTTTGGTCTGTTGTGCCTAATATTCGTTCTTTCAACCTACAAATGGAAATTGGCTCCACTAGTAGGGCCCTCCCGCTACATGGTACGTAGAAGAATAATTGTGGATCACAGCACATGGCGGCATCCAATGAACATAAGTTATATGTACGTTAATTTAAGATGATTTAAAAACTTAATTATTCATCAACCAAGTTAGCAACATTGGAGAGGTCCTTTACAATTTTCTTTCCTGTGGAAAATTTCTAAGTCTACAATTATCGGCTGTGAAATTTAAGATTGACCCATTTTTTTCTGCTGTTTTTTTTTTAATTGAATTATTGGAATCATTTTCCTTGTTTTTTGGAAGATTAAATTTTGAAACGAGAATTTAATCTTTTAATTGACTTGCAGGATGGACGCCGAGTGCATGTCATTGAAAGAGACCTAACAGAGCCTGATCGAATAGTAGGGGAATTGCTGCAACCTGGCGGCTATCTTAAGCTAATTGAGTTGGGACTCGAAGGTATGGAGAAATTAGACATTTGAGAAATTTTCTGATAGATCTTTATGCAAAATTTGGAATTTTCGTTTTGATGGTTGTTAACCTCTCTCTTAATCTCGTTGTCTAAGTTATAGCTAAAGATAGATGTTAACTGATGTTTGTTTCCTTCAGATTGCGTGGAGGAAATTGATGCTCAGCGTGTGTTTGGTTATGCTCTTTTCAAGGATGGACAAAATACTCGACTATCCTATCCCTTGGAGAATTTTCACTCAGATGTGTCTGGGAGGAGCTTTCACAATGGACGTTTTATACAGAGAATGCGGGAAAAAGCTGCGACTCTCCCCAAGTAAATTTTTTGTTCAATATGGATATATCTCACTGTTTCTGTCGCTTAGCCTGCTTGAGAATTCTCCAAGCGTAGTATTGTGTTCTCCAATGGCAAATAGACTTTCTGATATGCATAAGCTGTGTGAACTTGGAACCGGAGTTAATGTTTGTACAAATTTACCTTAAGCTTGTGAATTAATGCGAAGTTCTGTGGTGATGTTCATGGACAAAAGTTCTTTGCTTTGTTCTTTATGGACTGCGTTTGCCATATACATGTATTAAGCATGTCGTACGCCCATCTTCCTTTGTCATTGTTTTTTCATTTGTTTAACTGTAAATGAACTGGGATCAAGCTATTTTGAGAAAATTGTAACCTTCTGTGCCAATGATATGCTGTGGACTTCCTTATTTAAGCTTTTTGGTAATTTTTCTTTTGTTGATAAAACTCTGTTTTTTTTTTTCTTTTCATTTTTCATCAGTGTAAAACTGGAGCAAGGGACGGTTACCTCTTTGATAGAAGAAATGGGAACCATCAAAGGTGTGCAATACAAGACAAAGGATGGAAAAGAGCTGGCAGCTTATGCACCTCTGACTATTGTCTGCGACGGATGTTTCTCAAACCTTCGTCGCTCCCTTTGCAAACCCAAGGTTGAGGAAATTCACTCGTTTCTCATGCTTTTCTGTTTCTTGAGTTGAAATTGAAGTGCATGATTTCCGAGTACGATATTTTTCTGTGCGCATGTTTCTTTGCGAGATGTAGATTTACTCTCCCAAATCCTAATTTATTGTTCCCGCAGGTTGACGTACCGTCATGTTTCGTTGGCCTGGTTTTGGAGAAATGTCAACTTCCTTATGCAAACCACGGACATGTTATCCTGGCAGATCCCTCTCCTATCTTGTTTTATCCAATCAGCAGCACAGAGGTCCGTTGTCTTGTTGATGTACCCGGGCAAAAAGTGCCAAATATCGCGAACGGTGAAATGGCTAACTACTTGAAGACAGTTGTAGCTCCTCAGGTATGTAAACCGTGCATTATTGTTGTAACATCTTTGTAAGATGCTATCATGCCACAAATTCAATCTGGTATCTGTTGAACGGTGTTTATTTCATTTAGCTGAGTGTGTGGGTTTTTCTATTCAGGTTCCTCAGGAAATTCACGAAGCCTTTGTTGCCGCCGTTGATAAAGGAAACATAAGGACAATGCCTAATAGAAGCATGCCCGCTGCTCCCCATCCCACTCCTGGAGCTCTATTGATGGGGGATGCATTCAACATGCGCCATCCGTTAACTGGAGGAGGAATGACTGTGGCACTCTCAGATATTGTTGTGCTCCGTGATCTCCTCAGGCCTCTGCTTGACTTAAATGACGCGCCCACTTTGTGCAAGTATCTAGAGTCCTTCTATACCTTGCGCAAGGCAAGTCTCGTCCCTTTTGAAATTGTCAACATTGAAGAGTGCATTATATTATGTTTCTTTTTCCTCTGGTTAAATGATTCCAAGTTTTCACTCACATGTTCTCTTTTTCTGGTATATGCAGCCAGTGGCATCCACAATAAATACACTGGCTGGAGCCCTATACAAAGTCTTCTGTGCTTCACCTGATCCAGCAAGGAAAGAGATGCGACAAGCCTGCTTCGATTACTTAAGTCTCGGAGGCGTATTCTCAAATGGACCTGTTTCTTTGCTTTCGGGTTTGAACCCTCGACCGTTGAGTCTGGTTCTCCACTTCTTTGCAGTTGCGATCTATGGCGTTGGTCGATTAATGCTGCCTTTTCCATCGATTAAGCGCATGTGGATTGGAGCTAGATTGATATCGGTGCGTTATCTATGAGTGTCCTCTTAAGTCCAATCATCTATGAAACAAATAGATCGTGGATGATCACAACGTCTGAGTTTTGTGCAGGGTGCATCGGCAATCATATTCCCCATCATCAAGGCCGAAGGGGTAAGGCAAATGTTCTTCCCCGCGATGGTTCCTGCGTACTACAGAGGTCCACCTGCGAAGTGAGATCCATAAACCGAGCTCAAGCAGTAGCTAAAAGCTTCAATGAACACGAGGACAGTTTGTGGTGGCATCTGCTTTCCCTGGTTCAAGGTCGTTGGGAGGGTAATGTTTCAACAGTGTCTAAAAGTTTTGGGTATTCAGATCTTGTCCATTACTCCGTGTAGAAACCACCATGGGGGATGTTCTGGACTATGTGGCTTTGTGACTCGGAACGGGAGTAATTTATCAGATGATTGTTTTTGTTGTCCGTTTGTCTCTGTGTCAAGAGGTGAGGACAGTTTCTGAGGAAGGGCGATCTCCACCCAATCCTGTGTGATTTAACTTACATTTAGATCTTAATATGCCTGACAGGAAGAACAATTTGATTGATAAAGACCTTAGCGTAGTCTCGATATGCGAGGCCCGTGGGCAAGGAATTGTTGAAAACCAAGGAAAGAGAAGGGAACTCATGGGCCATGAGTAGGTGAAAATAGAGTGCGAGGAATCAAGTTCAAAACTTGTTGACTCTGATATCGCTTTAGACTTCATTACGTGATTACTCCGATAACTTGAACTGTTAATATCAAGAAATTTCACGCGGTGTATTATCAATGTTTTGGAGATAAATAACGATATTAGCTCACGCATAGGACCATATCTGTAAGGTCTGAACTCAGCCATGCTCACTGCATTTTTTCCATAATGATACAGCTCATTAGTTGATAGCATCATTTCAATACAATGTGTAATTACAAAGATATTCAAGAACAGCAATCTTGAGGCCCAACTGTTTCGACCACTGCCATGTTATTCTTTACAAGAGTGGACACCTCCGTGGCCGAAAGCCATGCATGTCCACAAAATGCGATAGTCGTGCGAACTCGTGGTTCATTACATCTTGTTCCTTCGTTCTTGTTTTATAGCTTCGTAGGACGTCATGACTTCTTTGAACTTTGCCTCTGCGACTTCTGTAAAATAGACAACAAAGAAGAGAAGAAAAACTGTAGAAAATGAGGAACCTAATTCGTGGAACCTGCACAAGCTAAAAAATTTCCTGTCTTTATGCAACAAACAAACACAGCCCACCTTTATCATTCTGGTTCTGATCTGGGTGGAACTCCTTCGCCTTGGCCCTGAATGCTGTCTGCAGCAATTAAAAGATGCAAATCTTGTTCACTATATGAAGCCCTAGAAAATGGAAAAGTCATAGAAAGGAAATATACACTAAGCAGCATGATCAAGCTCAGATACTGTATGCATTATCTGTGCCGTACAGATGGCACAGTAGAAGAGACAACAGAAATCTCATAGGCGTATACATGCTCAAATTAATGAACTCAAGCAAATGCTCCACGTATGTGCCCACCCCTGAACTAAAATCATGTGACATGTTTCCAGTAAATGTGTTAGTGAAGTACTTCTCTGGGGGCGGTATTGGAGGATGCACGTATCTGACAATCAGTGTAAACAGTTGGTAAAGACATGTTTAAACACATCCAGCTTCATACCTTGATCTCTGCTTCAGTGTATGGTGTTCTTCGGGACCTATTGCACAAAAGATCAGTCAGAAAACATAGATGTCAATGCCAAAGACAAGCTCAGACATTTTATAGGTTACTAAACTCCAGTGAAATTCAAGTTAATATAAATGCAATATTTGGAACTCCACATTATGAGTCTCCATTACTTCTATAAAGGAGAATATTTTGAGCGTAGTTATAGAACACCCGTTATCACATCATCATACAGAAGATATATCAGTTGACATTGTGATGAGAAACGTGAATTAACAAGAGTCCATGCTGCTTCCAGAAACGACCCAACTATAGATGTCAAGTGACAGCTGCAAGGTCTAAAAACTCATTCAAAGTAGAAACATAGCTTATGCTCATGCATAGACAATATATCAATGCTCAACATAACAGGGTCGTACGAGCATTTCTGAAAATGGCGATGATCCTCGAAATAGCTTACTCATTCTGCTATGCACTTTGCATATGACATTGATGGCCATTTTATCCAAATTTCATAAGATATATCATGGCAACAATATTGTCTAAATTTTGATCATTTTTTTTCCTGAATAAAATGAATATGTAAAGATTAAGGAGTACCAGAAACAATAAACGCACTTTATCATCCAAGTTACGTGTTAGGCACCTGTTCGAAAACTTTGTTCCCCAATTTCAAGTTAATAGCTACAGCAGGTTCCTCATACCATCATTACCTGTCAAGACCTAAAACTGAATAGTGGTGTGATAACGGGTAAGTTGATCTATCCCTTGACGTTTCCTTGTAATTGGTCCAATGATCTCCATAGAACGTGTGAGCCTTCCAATACCAATCATCCTGCTGGAAATGGTAATTGTATGCACCAGGATCATTTTGACTCCATCTCTCATAACTCCTCCTAAATTTGGTCCTCTCTCTGTTAAAGATTCTTTGCATACGCCTTATACGCTCCTACAGAAGGACGACTGGCAATGTCATTAATTAACACTTGCGTGACAGAAAACAAAGAATGCAGCCAAGTTCCCCTATAAATGAAGCCACTAGAAGCTTGGATAAGGATGTATATGATCTTAGGCATAGAATAATCACTAATACCTACCCATTCAGCAACATAATCTGAAATTCTGGATACTGCTCTCACTAATTAGTTCCTTGGAGAGTATAGACGGCACAGCAGTCAAAAGAGTTATCGAGAGCTAGCTTATCTAAATATTAAGTCACCCAAAACGATGAAGCTATAAAGCAGGGGAAAAATTTACATCTCCTCTTTGGATGGTGAAAGTCAGATTAAATTCAATCTCCAATATCTGAATGCAGGGTTATGAGTTTCCTATTTGGGTCTTCTTTGGGCGCTCGTTAATCATATCTACTAAAGAGAGATCTTCATTTTCAATGCACTGGCAGTGCATAATGCGAGGAAAACAGTGTTTTGAAAACAATAAAGTTTGTTTATTTGGATGTTTAACAAGTGTTCTCAGGGTATTCGCTTATAAAATCCTTCATATTTTACTTTCAACCACAAGTCCACAAGCCCATAATAAGCAATAGAAACTGTGCATATACATCTACTATTGACCTGTGTCACTACCTGATGCTACGGCGAGACCAAAGAACAAGATAGAAAAGCTTCATTCCTTTGCCAGACTAGAATAGTACTATAAGTAAACTATTATTCATGTGATGAAACTACCGCTGTTTATTATGCTTCCAGCTGATATTTACAAGGGTAAAGGCATTTTACTAGTGAATTTCTCCCTGAGGTGACACTAACTTCACACATATATCTTTAGTGGCTACAACGTGGACCTTCCTATTGAAAACTTACCACTCGTTCCATTTCCTCTTCATAGGCCTCCTCAAGTCGCTGATTATACCTCCTCCATGCTTCCTCCTGAAAAGCTGAACGGAATTTTTTTCCTGATGCTTGTGACTTGGGTATCTCTCGCATTGCAAATTACAAGATCATATTCAGCTCCAAAAGAAGAAAGTGCAAAGAACCCTAAAAAGGACTTCGTATCAATCTCTTAAAAGCTTTTGACTTCATGAAGCACATGTAAAGAAACTACACACAACTTCCAACTGATTCAGCCGGTCTGTTGAAAGTTGAATTTTGACAATCCAATCGCGCGGTTAATGGAAACGACCTATGTCGAGTTGATTCATTCAATCCAATCTTTCTGTACCTGAGAATGGAACCAATCGACATTTCTCCGCAACTGTAAAACCTACAACAAGCAATGAAGAAATCATCACCACAGAGCAACTAGAGTAACAATGCGGAAGCGCTCTTGAACTGACAACGAATTGCAGAAACACGCATCAGCCCAGACCCCCACAATTAATGACAAACTCTCTAATTCAGCATCACCTCGCGCCCTAAAGGGCCACGACTCGACCACCAATTCCACTAGCTTCCTAAACACAGGCAATTCGTCAAACACGCGCATGGGATTACGAAATTTACCGCGAATGTGGTGACGAGGGAGCCGATCAAACCGAACACGAAGATGCCGTAAAGCTTCAAGCCTTCCTGCTTCTCCCCAAGATGGCTCTTTGTCGACGCCGGCCATTGTTCGTCCTTGCTCGGATTGCTACCACCCTCCGCCGTCATTTTGATTCAACCCCACCGGAAGGAATTCAGTTATGACGGTCGTGGCTGGAGGCAGACAAAGCCATGTTTTTTGGGGACCCTTTTGTGCGAATTACGCCTCTCGATCCCTGCACCCACTTAGCTAGATGACGAGAAAAGAGTATCGAAACGCTGGCTCGTTGCGAACGAGGTTCTTGTTATGGCGGTGGATCAATTCTCGGGGGCGAGAAAGTGAGAACAGAGAGGAGGATGTTATGTAATCTGCCACGGAGGCAGAGAGGAGAGTAACGAGAATGTCTCCTTCCCCGGGTCCACGCTTTCCTTTGACAATTTCTTCTTCACATTTGACGAGCGGAACCCTTCCCTGTGCGATCAACTCTTTCCTAATTTATGAGCCTGATGTGTTTTTGTGGATATACAGGGGAAAAATTCGTGTAAGAATATGCGACAACTTCGAAAGGTTGGTTGCTAATCAGCATTTAGAGCCACTGATGTTATTTTGTTCCTTGGATCTTATAATACGAGACAGTACATATGCCACTCAAGTTGTTCATGGTCATGACTTGAGAGATCTAAATGTAAAGAAAGAGGCGCAAGGAAGCACTCCATAGTCTTTGAGTAGCTGCCTCACTGCAAAGAAGATGATGCAAAGACAGAACTCATAATGAGAGTTCAGATAAATTCTAACTCGAGCAGTGAAGCTCGACCAGCGCTGTGAAATAAATCGATCAGAACGACGGCATTATTCGGGACAATTACATATTTACGAGTACACAGTCTCTTGATGACAGGGTGAAGAAGACAATGCTATGTACACTTAGTCGTCCATGTCCGATTTCTTACAAGGTGGTTCACAGTGCTCAATTGATTTCCACAACCCAGCCATACTTATCCTCGATATGACCCATCTGGATACCGACAAGGATATCGTATAATCTCCGGCAAGCAGTTTCAGCACCTGTCCTAAACTCGATCCTGCAGTTTCCATGAATTAGAGTTGTCAGAATTGCACGCAACATTGACATGAGAGACAGCAACAGATTGATTCTCCGTTCTGAATTGTCTTTGGTGTACTAATACAATGATTATAGTTGATAAAGACAGCGAGAAAAAGGTTAACCTTTTGTCTTTGTAAGTAACGCTGCCCACGGATGCAACTACAACAGCAGTTCCGGTGCAGAAAACTTCCTCGGCTTCCATTAGTTCTTCCACCGGAATAGCACGCTCCTCGACCTGATACAATTCATGGGAATTTTAAACTATGTACTTAAGATGGCGTATCATGCAGAGGTAACCTATGTATTCTCATAATTCAATAATTATTCTAACCACGCAGATAGCCCGTAAGGATCTGTGAAATTAAGCATTTTGTTGCTACAATATCAAGGCAAAATGTTGCCGGCCCTCTCTGTTTTGGGGTTGGAAAGACATATACCTGGTATCCTAGATCACGAGAGATTTCTATGATGCTTTTTCTGGTGATTCCAGAGAGAATAGTTCCATTTGTAGCAGGAGTTGAGATGACATTTCCCTGGAAGAAAAGGAAAAATAAATGCATGAGATGATTGCTAAGAGATACTTCATAGAAATAAAAGGACCAACAAGAGATTCAAGTTTCCGATTCATATTCCACAGAAACTTTCACGTGACGTGTCCTAAAATTTTTTCAGGCCATGAGTCATGACTTGTCCGGGAAACTTGGTGAATAATATTGTTTACACATCACCTCTGACCATTAAATTTAATGCCCTTTTTACATGATACCTTCAGGACGAAAATGTTGCAAGAAGACACCTCCTCCAAATTTTTCTTGTCAACCGAGTCAAGGTATAAGACATCAGAGAACCCTCTGCTTTTTGCTCTGGCTAATGCTTTCAGAACCTGCAAATTCAGTAGAGGAATGATCCCCATTAGAAAACGTGAAGCAGTTGTAGAGGAACTTCAAATCTGCCTCAAGAATCTTATGCTCACTGGTGCATAATTGGTTATAGTCTTGACGCCTCCAGTGCCACCTCGAGAGGCCCGATCAAACTCTTCCTCAATGTACAAACTCAAGGGCGCCGTGCCCTCCTGTACCCAAACCACAAGCATTCAGTGCCTTGGGTCTAAATTTTGACCCAAAATAGCTTCTTTAAGAGAGAGACTCACTTTGAAGTAATTACGGACAGGCGACGAGTATATCAGAAACGTGAATTCAGGGGCTGGTGCCAAACCTAATATCGGACCACTTCCCATGAGCAAAGGTCTTATGTAAAGAGACCCTTTTCCAGGAGGAGGAACCTGCATAACCATTGCACCGTAAATAACCTGGAGTCCAAGACAATTTCGAATTTCCACATTTTTCTTTAACCAATCGGTTAATCGAGCAGCAGGAGAGAAACAAAAACTTTTACCCAACGCTTGTTAGCTAGAGCGGTCTCTCTTACAGCGTCCACGAACTGTTCAACAGAAGGCGCGGGCATACACATCCTGTCAGCGCCAACCATCATGCGGATCGCATTCTGATCGGGACGAAAGAGCAGAAGGCCACCGTTTTCTTTCCTATATGCTTTCAATCCTTCAAAGAGCCCCTGGATTTGTTTTTCAAACTGTTAGATTTAGAGATAAACTTCCATATGCATGGTATCATTTTAAGTCAAGTTTCAGTCACATTGTTCTTTAGTGTACTTTTTCCCTCCACGAGATTTATGCTTGCCACTTCATCCTGAGAAATTTCATTCCGAGCACGGTCTTGTTTGGATGATTTCAAGCTTGGGACATTATTCTTTGTTCTTTCTTTTGAAATAACGCGGCATACGTTACAGCTGTTGTGTGCTTGGCTAAACTATCAGAGCTCAGAAGCAGAGATCAGATCAAAAACTCACCTGCCCATAGTTCAAGACTCCTGCCGAAGGGCTAAGCTCAATGTTCCCATATGGTCTAACTTGTCCTTGTTCAAATGTCCCATTTTGCGTGCACTTCATTTGGTACATGTAATCCGTTGGCATCAGACCAAACCCAAGGTTGTCCCAGTCCACGTCCGCATATTCATCCTCCTCCTTGCGTGTGCTGCCATCCAGAGCCAGAGCGAGTCATAAGAAAATCGAGATAAAAAAAAGTTGCTCTAACCATCGTCTCTAGAGTCCACGAGTTCACGCGTTTGGTCTGCTCAAAATGATATCTTTTCCTGCAACTTCTCTGAGAATGCCAAAGTCGGGGGTAGGTTTTGATGACACGTCATTTGGAAACACAGCTGATGACGCAAGTTCCCCAATCCATCAACCATTAGCAATTTGCTTAAAAAAGTTCGATCACCAACTAAACATGTCAATTTCCCCTCTCTGTCTTCGTCTTCCTTAAAGAATCGGGCATGAACAGTCGATCTGCGACAGGCCATAACGCGGCACATGGGTTGTACCTATTATTTTCTGTGTAGAGATTTGAGAATATACCCACGCAAAAGGAGTCACGGGAGCCCCAAGTGCGCAGGAACCAACCTAGTTTCTTGTTTTTTGGTCAGAAAAAGGAACCTACCTAGTTGAACGTGGGCTTTTTATACTCCAAAATCGAAGACCAAGTGCCAGTTAAACATATTAATCAACGGGCCCTCAACTTAGCTTAATTTCGTCGGTGAGTATTTTATTTCCTTCCCATACCCAGTACGTGTAATCAAAATCTTTTTGGTTTGAGACACGTTCTCAAACCATGCTCTGTTACCTGTAAACAGATGGATCGCATGCTTGCAGCAGAGACGACGCTGCCTGAGATGTGTAACCCCAGCAACCTCCGCACTGAAATATAGATTCGTTAGATTCATGAAGTTACGAAAAACTATTAATTTTCACATGCAGAAAAAGGGAAAAAAAATCCATTCGTGGGATCTTCACCAACTTTGAGTCGAGGAAAAGAGAACTCTGTTACAGACAGTTCCTTTCGCCTACTTGACGAAGCCAATTATGTTCAACACGAGTCACTGTGTTTTGCTCTAAGTTACGAAAGCATAAGGCCTCGTTTCTTCTCGTGACAACTCGACGAGAATCTCCTTGTTATGTCTTTGCCTTTCCTTCCTAAAGATTCGTACGTTAAAACTGACAAGATTGGTTTTTTTTTTTTTTTTTTCTACTGGGCTTTTCTCTCCGTTAAAAGAATAGCAGAACAGATACGACCAAGCTTCTGATTGATCAAAAGGGTCCTCAACCCCACGAACAGCAAGCGAGAATACGAGCATCGTACTGGTCCAAAGCTGTTAAAACGACAAACAAGAAGTCACTAGCCTTTGATAGGGAAGAGCGAGAGCCGTTCCTCAGAGACGGCACGATCCTGCGACAGGCAAGGCTCCTGGAAATCATGGTTTTGGCCGGCGATTGCTCTTGCTATGCTACGAACAGCTCCCGCGACTTTCACTTCGCCTTCACGAGTTCCCGAGTGGCTCTAGTCAAAGGAAAGCATCACCACCCAAAGAAGAAAAACAAAGATTGATCAGCAATAAATCTCAATGGCCGGACGGGTGACGTGTTGGAAAGTGGGTGAAAGGCATGAAGTGATGGGGACAACTGTGGAGAAGAACCGAGGAGGAGGAGGAGGAGGAGGTCCCTCTCCAATAACCAGGAGGGCCACCTGAAGGGGGCCTCAGCGAACGCACAATGTGGAGACTTGACAGATGTTAACGGGACGGAGGAAGGAAATCAGGCGAGAGCATCAAAGCGAAGGAAGAAAGCGACAAGGCATATATAATTAGAGGCAGTCGAGCACGGAACCTTCAACGTCTGTCAAAGAAAAAGACTGAATCTTTATCGTGCTTTGCTCGTGTCGTCGGGGGAGGATACTGCGAAATTGACAGGCGATGTCAGGACGCATGCTGGTAAAAATTCATCGGCTCAAAAATCATACGTGCCTTGTACTTCAATAGCGATTCGAAAAAAAAAATTTATATCGAGGGCGGATAAGTTAAAACCCCCCATTTGAGCTCGTTAACGCCGGTTTTGGAAAAAAAAAAAATTTGCACTGTCCATAGACCACCGCCGGCCAAACTCCTCATCGCAACCGTAGATTATGCGGGTTATACAATTGGATTTACATAATAATTAGAGAGAGCAGGCATGCGCATACAAATCGTGCTCATCATCTCAACCGTAGATTATATGGATTATACGGCGAAATCAACGTATAATTAATGATTGAGAAGATATCGATTTATATGCTTTTTTATCCTTTTTGAGCAATGGAAGGAGTAGGAGAGGGCAGTGCATATCCAAGTTCGGGTGGGTTTCGCTCAAGTTTCCACGTTGGATGAAGAGGCTTTCCAAGGAGCTTTTGTTAGGTTGGCCATGCCCAATAATGTTTGTGGACCTCTTCTTCATCAGGTTCATTATTTCTCACAAGCAGTGCTGGAGGAGAAGGACATATATGGAGTTTCTATCTATATAATTGATTTATTTCATTTTATGGAAAAAAAAAAAGGTGTTTCCTTTTACAACCGGGCTTCCTTATCCTAGGATAGTCTCTGGCGATTTGTTTTGATTGATGGGACACCTAATTTCTTCGCGTAGCGCGTGTATTTAGTTCAGCAACTTTGATACGAGACTAAAGCGTAAAAATATATAATAAAAAGGATAGCGCAAATAAAAATCTAGAATATTTGAGAAAATTTGAATTTAGGGCTTTCTGCTCCGATACCATGTAAAATATTATGAGACCACTGTCAACTTTCTAATTTCTTTCTTACATATTCAACTGGACCCATCTTTATTCAAAATCCTAAACCAATAAAATATGGACCAAGTATGATATAAGGAAAATGACACAAATGGAACCTGAACGTTGGCCTAATATGCAATGTGGTCCCTGAACTTTTAATTTGTTCAATAGAGTTCTTGAACTTTAGCTCAATGTGCAATGTGGTCCCTGAACTGTTAATTTATTCAATATAGTTTTTGAACTTTAGCTCAATATGCAACATGGTCCCTAAACTTATAATTTGTTCAATGTGGTTCCTAGATTTTTGATACATATTCAACTTAATCTTTGAACTATATGAAAATGTTCACTCTTGACTTTCTATTAATTTGAGTTTGGTTGGAGTCATCACCCATTGACATAATGGCCAGCAAAAGCATTGTTGCCTTCCACAGAACAAATTGAGAGTTCGGGAACTTGAATCTGTGATGCCGAATTGCCGATGCGGGCGATGAGCCTTTCTTTCATGTGGAGAGATTTATTTCCATTTTGGTGTTTGCAATTCGCGTCGCCGAATTGTTCGACGCAGGGAAATGAGCTGGCGTTAGGTGCTCCGGCTCCTCCAATGTCTGGTAGTAGACCATGTGATAAAAATGGACAAAGAGACATCTAGTCGGGGCCTAATCCCTTGCGCATACCTCGATGATTGAATTGGTAAGGAAATTAGGTTATCTCAGTAGGGTGTTCATCGAGTTTTCCTCTATCAGCTCGATGTAATGAGAAACGGTGAACTCATGGGGTCACGATGCAAGACTGAAATCGAAAATCGATCCAAAATTTTTGTGGCATAATGTTCGTTTCCCGAAAGGCCGATACCATGTTCGACAACATTGTCGCTTTGTTCGGGGATGAAAGGATATTCTTGTATAACTTGAAATTATCAAATTTCTTCGTTTTTCAACCCTAACTTTTGGTCTTCTTTCTCTTGGTGTCCTTTTCCCAAACGGAGCAATGTGAGTCCAACTTCAGCCAATCTATGACACTCCAAAAGATTCCTTGGTCGTCATTGGCAACCACCATAGCATTAGCTTGTTCTTGGTGATTAGTTATAAAAAAAATTTGTCAAACACCTTATGACAAGGAAAAACAAAAGAAAAAGAAAAGGTTTTTCAAAAATTCACGATGATCATGAAATAATATCATGATAGTGCCATGTAAGCCCGTCGAACCGTACAACTTTAGAACGTAAAGTCATAATTATGCGCAAAAACGTCGTAAAAGTGATTTTCGATGTGACGATGCTTAATCGTTGTCCTATTAAAAGTGTAGTAATTTTACACTTCATTGTTGTGCCTTAATGAAAGATTTCCGTCACGTGGGTGCCGTGTCGTGATAGTATGTCTAGTGACCGATATATTCCAACTTTCTCCATATTTCAAAGTGCGAAAATAGTCCGATCAGAAAAAAAAAAGTGCAAAAACAGAAGAGGTTCTTTACAAAGGTAAACTTTTACGCAATAGATTCAAGAGGCAATGTCATAACATGGTAATTTTTTAATTAGTTCAAAAGAAAATTGAGAGGGCTGACTGAAACCCTATATCAATATGGAGATCAGTCATTGAAATATCGGATCATATTAAATCATGCCACATGAGTTTATGACTTCGTTTATTTCACGAAAATTATTAAGAAAATATTTTTCCAAAAATAATTGTTTATATCTCTTAAAATAATTAATTAATTAAATGTCTAAATATTTAGTGGATGATGAAAGCATATTTCATTCATCGAGCAATCATTTCTTAGGAAAATGGTTTTCAAATCATTTATTTTCTGTGAAATAAATAGTCTTAAAACTCTTAATTTCTGTTGATATAATCCCATCACCGGGTTCTCGCGCTTGAATCCATCCCTCCCCTCCTCTGTGCGACCTTGTCACTGGACCTCATAAAATGGGTCACGGTCGAGTGCTTGTATAGCCAACTCGTGCAATCTATTGCTTACGCAACCCGCCTCTATCACCATTGACATAAGTCGCAACAATTCGAAAATTTGACCGATTATCCAAATCGATAATTGTGGACGTGGGTCGTGTAGAACAGAATTACATAGCTCGTGTACTTTAATTCAATCATGTTTTTGTTTTTCCTCTGGAAATAACCTAAACTCTAGACAAAGTTTGACCACTTTGTAGTAGAATGGCGAGCGTAGACAAACGAGACAAGGGGTCACGCCGTGGCCCATGAGAACTTTAATTTAAATAGGATTACCATTCTTCTTGGAGCTGCACTTTTCACATCCAAAAGCTTGTGCTTCATGTTTAGCATGAGTACTTGCTATGGATGGATGAAGATAGGCATGCTTAACGTGTGCTTAGGGCTAATCTATATATTATAATCGACGTGATCTTTCCAAGTGGGATACGGTAATCACCATTAAGCCAAAAGACAACGTTTGGTGCCACGAGAATAATGAGGACAAAGCCCAGCAAATAGGCGTCCATTTGGAAGCCTTATCCCCAAACTTTTCCTCCAGTTGATCTCAATCCTATAGTCTTCCCGCACTTCATGATCATCGTCATTATCCTCCACCCCAGAACTTAATGACATCTGTGTTTTCTTAGGGTAAAGATTTTTATGTTTTTTGTCCCTATTCATGCTTTTCGTAATCGAGTCTATATACTTTTAATCTATCTAATCAAGTCCTTCTACTTTCACGAATTTTCTCGTCGAGTCTCTCCGGCACATGGTATCTGAAGACGCTATATTGCGGATGCCCACATGGACGTGGGTGGAACAAATTTACAAATGTAGACATCGTTTGAGTATGATGTGGATTAAATTTAGCCAATATGGATGACCACGTGGACATTCACATAGAAAAAAATTTATCCACGTAACACTAGGACATTGCCCGACGGCCTACATTTGGTCGAATATGGTGTCAGAAAGGCTTAATTAGAACTTTGTGAAAGTAGAAAGACTTGAATAGATAATGATATAAATTGATTAGAAAAAATCATGAGAGTATAGGGATGAAAAGTAGAATATTTCGGGAAAATTACTAAAAACATCTTAAACCTATTGCGTTTTTGCCCATTGAGTCCTAAACATTTTCATTGTACCAATTGAGTCCTAAATTTTTTCATATTTTGCCAATTGAGTCCATCCGGTCAATTTTGACTAGAATCGCTTACATGGACGCCGACCGTCCTACGTGACATGACCAGTGTTGGCACGACTGGAGTTGACATGAAGAATTTTAGAATTTTTAAATAATTTTTAGATTTTTTTTAAAAAATTCTTTCTCCTTTTTTTCTTTTCTTCTCTTTTCCTTCTTTTCTTTTTTTTACTTCGTCGGCCATTGGGCAAGCGTCGCGGCCCTCGCTTGGCCTGCCCAGATTTGGGTGAGGCCATCAAGACCGCAGGTGAGGGCCCTGTGACCCTCTCTTGGTGGCCTCTCCAGCCACATTAACAAAAGTAAAAAAGGAAAAAAGAAGAAAAGAACAAATAAAAAATTTGAAAATATTATTAAAAATTCTCCACGTTAGCGCCGGTTCTACCAAGTGTCGCGTAGGATGGTCGACACGACGGCGTTCACGTTAGCGATTTCCGGTCAAAATTAATCAGATGGACTCAATTGGCCAAACGTAAAAATATTTAGAACTCAATTGACACATTTAAAAGATTTAAGACTGATTGGCAAAAGTGTGATATGTTTATCACTTTTGATAATTTTCCCAAATATTTCCCGATTCATTTTCTCGTCTCGAGTTCTTCTACTTTGGTCAAAAGTACAATTAAGCCTTAACCACGCGCTATTGTCATCCTTTCGGTAACCACGCACCCAATTTTCTGATGTGGTAACATGGGACTTGCCGGATGGCCTTTTTTAGGAGATAATTTAGCCAAATAATTAAGATTTTTTTATGTAATTTTCCAAATCGCATTATCTAGCCGATAAATTTTACGTGATCAAACTGCATCACTAACATAATTATCATTAT